AATATTATAGTTAAACACTGCCTGTGACTCGTCGGCGTCGCAACACAGGGGTGCAACATGGTACCATCGCGACTCTTAATTTTAAAAACAAAAAGACAAGAGTCAGCCCTTTGTGTGTGCAGGCACGACCCTTGCTCCAACGAGGATCCCTCGATCGAGCTCCACCGCTGTCGTACCAGTAGGGCATAACACCCAGCTCGCGATGGAAGGTTCACGTCCTGGGAAAGGCCTTTGCCGAGGACCTTAACCCCTAACCATCCGGATACCATCTCCTACCACCCGACTAGTTCCCCACACAGTCAGTTACGTCGAATGTCGAGCAAGTAAACAAACAACATTCATACATAAAAGAAAATAATAAACATACAAGCACACGCAGTAGAAAATATCAAGATTCATTCAAGGAAAGCGGGCATAACCCATTGTACATAGTTACATAAAAAGGGCACGTCGGCCCAAAAATACATCATAAAGTAAAAACAGGTGTGTAGGCCAGAAAAATCAACACGAACACGTAGATCTAGAAATACTAAAACAAACCCTAAGATGTCTCCTGTCCCTCTCGCTCTTCCTCCTTGGTAGACGGGTTGTCATCATCATCCTCGGTTCCAGTCGCTACCACCCGTCCATCGACAACCTGGTGATAGGGTTCCGTCCCTTCAGTGATGAGAGCAACCTCGGGGTTCACTATCTTGAGTTGCTCTATGGTGCTCTCGTAGCCAACCTCGACAGCCCCTAAGCAATCCTGCTCGAGCTCCCGAATCCTCGTCACCAGCTCAACCCGAGAAGTCAAGAGCTTCTCCTTATTGGTCTCCTCCTCGGCAGGACGAAGGGTAACCTCCAACTTTATGACTCGCGCCTGCAGCTTCAACTTGTCCTTCCCGGCGGCCTTCAACTGCTCTTCAGCCTCGTTGTTCCGTTTGCGCTGGGCGGTGTTATCCTCCCTGGCTAATTCCAGCTCGACATCCAATTTGGTCATCTTCGACTCAGCAGCTGCGAGCCCCCCCCCCCCCCCCCCCCCCCCCCCCCCCCCCGCAATTTGGCAAGACCAGTAGAGGAGCAACCCTCGTCGCTCAGTGCCAAGGCCTTCAAAAAGACCCGCATCATTGCAGTTAAGTCCTCGGTCAGTTTTTGTCTCCTCGTTTCCCGACTAGCACCGGGAACCGCCTTCGCCTCCGCGACAGACACAACAGGAGACCTGGCCCCGTGGAAGAAACAAGGATGCAAATGGAAAAGGGGGAATCAGGAACCCCTCCTCAGTGCTGCCCTCGGTAAGGTCGACGACAGTCTCTGGCCCATGGATCCTCACCCTCTTTGAAGTCCCTTGCGACAATGGAGATTGGCTCCTCTGCGGTGACACTGAAGAGCCTCCTCCTCCTTGCTTGGAGCTAGACAGCTGCTGCACCTGGGTGAACCTTCCTTTTCCACCCTTCGTCCCGCCTCTGGTGGCCGCCAATCGCTTCACACGTTCATGCATGGTCGGCATACTCCTTGCAAAACAAAAGAGCAAAGGGTTAGCAAAACACAAGAATAACAGAGCCCAGAACGGTGCGGGCAGAAGACAACCCCAGGACGGTGCGGGCAGAAGACGACCCACTACCTAACAGACGCAAGGCCTCCTCTTCAGACGCACATTCGAGCAAGGCTTTCGTATTGACGAGTCTTGACTCCTGGAGAATATTCCCGTTTTTTTCGAGGATGAAGTTATCATTGAACGTCACACATTTCGCCGGGGTGAAGCTGGTCACGAAGGCCACCAACCTTTAGCATCCCACCTAGTCCTTCGCGTATAAAGTACCTGCTCGCACGATATAGTGATTCGTGCTCTGTTTGTCCAGTCCAGTGGAACCCTCAGCACCATAACCTCTTCCTGTTGCACGTCCACCTCCCAGACCTCACAATGGAATAGCAAGGTGCAGGCCTGATGGAACACGGGCCTAACCACGAAGAATCGATCCTTGAAGGTCCGGACATAATCCACATACCCCTGAATAACCTCCTCGTCTGCTTCAAGGACACTCAGCCTTGTCGACCATCGACCGTTTGCCTTTGTAGATGAAAGATCCGAAAGAACAGAGTGAGTGTGGTCCCGATTCGAAGGTGCCGGCAGACGAGCTCATATGCCCGGACAAAGGCAAACGCGTTGGGGTGCAACTGCGAAGGCGCCAACCTCAACCAGTCGAAGACACCCATATGAAAATCTGAGAAGGGAAGCCGAAGTCCCGCCTCGCAAAAGCAAAATTCATACATGGGAAATCGCATCTTCCCATAGCTCGAGCAGACCCGATGGTGGGCCCACGACCTGTACACTTGCCAATTCACAGTGGAACCCTCACGACGATCCTCAATCGTGGCAAACGCGTCGGAGTCATCCTTGACAAAACGGAAAGGCGTACTTAAGGGCTCCTCCCCAACCCAGTCCTCGACTGTCCGACTCTGCCTCTCGACGGGCGGGGCTGCCAGAGACTTAGGTTCATGGTCGACTTCTATGACTCCAAGTATCCACACAACCATACTCACCTGAAAAGCAGAGAGAAGCGGTGAATACGACGTTTCAAGATAAAATTCACCCTTTCACCACAGCTCAAGTGAAAGGGCAAAACAGACGATATCTACGACCTATGCTCCTTCAACCTCGATATCCGCTTCCCCGCGTTATTTACTATCGTATGTCCCCGGGGCATTCATCTGTATCTTCAGGGCATTCATCCATACCTATCATATGTCCCCGGGGTACTCATCCAGGCCTATCATATGTTCCGAGGGTACTCATCCAGCCCTATCATATGTCCCCTGGGAGTCTATCTAGAACTACTATGCGTCCCCGGGAGCGTCATCTTAGGCCTGCCCTGGGTCAAGGGAATCCTGTCGTAATCGCCGAAAAAACCCGCAGCCTCCTCGGGACACTCATCGTGTCCGCCGCAGGAGTTGCTGAAAAATAAAGAATGAAAGAACAGACTTACTTGGTACAATAGTTTGAGTAGAGACACGACAGACTTCGTGGCAGACGGTACAACGACAGCGATTGCACGACAACGTAGATGGTATGAGAGCAAGAAAGATTTCATTTATTAGAATTGAGAGCGAAAACTGACAAAGGGGAAGGCCTCAGCCTATTTATAAGCCTAGCACGAAAGTTGAAGCGCTCATAGGCACTAAAGCACCCCTACAGCTAGCCGCCCTAGGAGGGACAATGGACGCCTGACACGTGGCAACCGTGGCTGACCGTGCCCCTTCGTTTTCCCTCGAGCTCAGAAAGCTAACGCCCCGGTCATCTTTCGCCTCCCCGACATGATGTTCCGACGAGCACGGCTCTCGACCCCATCTTTCGGACATGGGACCACCTTTTCCTATTTGCCATCGACCTAGGCTTATCCTCAATTCATCACTCCTCCACCTCAGAGCAACGACTTGGGGGGCTCCTGTTCTGGACTGGGCCTGGACCTACCCCTCAATCGGGCAGGCCCAACCCAACACTCTGCTGGTGAGGCCCAGCAAGACCCAATTCCACCATGTCGGGCACTAGCCTCAACAAAGCATATATGTCGGGCAGACGACTCCCTTGACGGGGAGGCTCGCGCGCTTCCCCCACGTTCTCCATATGCTTCCCCCCAATAGGGACACGTCATCAGGCAAGTACCCACCTCCGAAAGAGTCGGTCAACCCACTTTCTGAAGATCACAGGGCAGTTGATTTAGGGTGAAGACCACGTGCTGGTCTTCACTACGCCACGTAAACCCTGACAGTTACGTGGGTTGAGTTTGGCAATATGGCCCAACACAATGTAACCGTTGGCCCCACGCTGGAGGCATACTATAAATAGCCTCTTTCACTAGAGGGTCAAGTAACTTCTTCTTCACACCTAATCTTTGTGCTTACTTTCTCTCTGATCTTTTACTCACTTAAGCAGGTACACCTCATCTTTCTCCACAACTCCAATGAAAACAGCAAACCAACGATGCGTGGCAGACCATTGATTTTTTCTGATCAGGTGAGATCAGAAACTATAATAGTTTGAACCAATTTCATGAATGAAAGTCCGATTTCTTCTGATCAGGTGAGATCAGAAACTATAATAGTTTGAACCAATTTCATGAATGAAAGTCCGAAAACAAGCAATGAATCTTATTGCCACAATGAAAGAAACTATAATAGTTTGAATCAAAAGTTATAGTTCTACATTTATCGAAATCAGAGTTAAAGCATCTATATATGGCAACTAGGACTCTTCTAAGACATGGTCTAAATGGCAATTCAGTTAACTTAATAAGAAAATAAATCAAGGCGAACATTATAAGAGAGAAAAATAGAAAAAGTTGCTTGATAAATATGATAAATTGTTGATATGATACGATGAAAGAGAGAGACAAAATGAAATGTTGAATAAATATTTAAAATAGGGTGTTCAAAAATGATTAACCGTTAACTAGTGCAGAGTTTATAATTACTATTCTTTTGTTATATATGCTATTTTATTTTATTCAATTTTACAAGATATAATAGACCTTCAATTTTCAAATTGATGACAAAGAACTCAACCACAAAACCATAACTTTCTCTATCAAGACATATAGTACTCAAACAACCAGGAGTTTCTCCATCAAAACATATAGTCCTCAAACAATCATAACTTTCTCTACCGAAACTCGAAGTACTCAAACACCGTACCGAAAACAAACCAAAACTGAGAAGCTAGAATTCAAACACCGTACCGAAAACAAACCAAAACTGAGAAGCTAGAAATCGGTCGCATATGTTTTTACGAAAAGCTTCAAGCATCAATAAATGAAAGTCAGTCGCCACTTGCCAGTGACAACAATAATAAGGCTAAGAAACAGAAACATATAGATAATTATAAAATAGGGAACATCCCTAATAAGAAATGTTCTGATTGATGTTCTGCATCCAATTAAGTATGAAAAAGATCAAAAAGGTATAAAAAGACTTCTTTCCCACTATCAAAATTGCCAAAAGCAGCTGAAGAAACTTCTAATGGGAGATCATTTCACAGTCAAGATTTTGATGACTGATGCAACACCCACACGATGGAGAGCCACCACAGAATCCCCGTTATTGCAGAGACCCTTTGTTTTCGCATACTGAATGGCGAAGTCTAGTGCCTCTTCTGTTGTTTCTGCGTGAGAAGCCCTTGCAGAACCTGCACTTAGTACTGGAATCAATCCTCTGAATATCAAGCTATGCCTGGCAGGGACCTCATCACTGCAGGACCAATCAAAGGTATCAGTCTTAATCTCAGGAACAACAACAGAAAGAATTGGCATGCCTGCTCTGTATTTAGCCACCAATTTTGCAGTACTCCCTCCTCTAGTTAAAACCAATATGAGTGCTGCTTTAGCTGAGTTGGCCATTTTAACCGCAGAAGAAGCAAGACTCTCCAATGGGCTCATGGGTACTGGCGAGTGCTCCATTATCCTTTTAAATACATCTCCATAGTCAATGGTGCTCTCAGCTTCAACACATATTTTAGCCATAGTTCGAACAGCAAGTTCTGGATAAGCTCCAGCAGCAGTTTCACCACTAAGCATGACACAGTCTGTGCCATCCAGAACTGCATTGGCAACATCAGTAGCTTCAGCTCTGGTTGGACGGGGAGATTTGATCATTGACTCCAACATTTGGGTTGCAGTAACAACAGGTTTCCCTTGGATATTGCACTTATAAATCATCACTTTCTGAGCAAGAAATATCTTCTCTATTGGAATTTCCATTCCAAGGTCACCACGTGCCACCATAAATGCATCTGAATTTGCAAGGATATCATCAAAGTTTGCAACTCCTTCTTGGTTCTCAACCTGCCACAAACATTTGAAGCAACAGAGAGAAAAAGTAACCAGAAATAAGTAATTAAATACAATATGTACCAGAACTAATGATAACAAATATCAGTAGGAACCCAAAAGACAGAATCTATAAGGAGTCCAAATTTTGTTAGAAGATATTCAATAACACATATTAATGTATATGCAAAATAAGCATCTCCATGATATCATATCCGATTCATAACTCAATTTGTTTCTAAACCAGCTCAACAATCACTTTTCATGAAATAAAATCAGAAATCCACAAAACACCATACCTTTGACATGAGAAGTATGTTCTTAGCATGTTTCCCCAACAACTTCCGAACTTGCACCAGATCAGAACCTTTTCGAACAAAAGAAAGCGCAATCATATCAATGTTATTAGGAACTCCCCAGACCATGATATCTTCTTTGTCTTTCTCAGTCAAAGTCGGGAGATCCACTATGACTCCCGGCAGATTAACATTCTTTCTCTCGCCAAGAACAGCAGAGTTCTCACAGCGGCAGTTAACCAAACCCGCTTTTACATCACATGATAAAACTTTAAACGATATGGTACCATCAGCGCAGAGTACAACACTCCCAGGCTTCACATCTTGAGCCAACTTTTTGTAGCTCATACAGATTGTATTCTCATCTCCCTTTATAGTATAGTCAGTGGAAATGGTTATTTCCTGACCTTGTTTCAGTTGAACGGGCTTCCCATCCTTGAGAAATCCGGTTCGAATCTCCGGCCCCTACATAAACATAAACAAACACAAATCATTCCAGATAGATAATGAAATAATTTCACAATGTCATGTTTATTTCATTAATACAACAATAGCAATTAAGCATTCAGTGCAAGATACGTAACACGATATGCACAAATCATCTTTTTATGAATGAGATTGTTAAATATAATTTTGATAATCGATGCACAGTTAATAGATCGATATTATTAGGGCAATATTTCATACCTTAGTGTCGAGCATAACGGCGCAGAGGATACCGGTATTATTCATGGCGGTTCTGAGATTATCTAGGGTTTCCTGATGGTAATCGTAGGAGCCATGAGAGAAGTTGAAACGAGCGACGTTCATGCCTGCTTGAAGAAGCTTCTCGATCATGGGAACGGACCTGGATGCGGGACCTAGGGTACAGACGATCTTCGTTTTCGGTTTCTTCTCCGCCATCACCGTCGCCATCTGAGATCAAGGAAGAAAGTTGGTTCGGTCACGAATGCGAAAAGGGACGAAAATGTGTGACCTGCGTTTTGATTCAGCGATGTGATTGAAAACAACACTGACGCAGTCGTTTTTGGTTTAAATAGAGACAGGAGTTAGTTAGGGATATATTATTTTAAAAATAGAATGGTCAAACTAATTTATTTATTTATTTTCTTATAGCAAAACTAGTAACTAGTTTTTAGAAAACTAATTGCGATATTTGAACGGTGTTACTGTTACTGATTAAAACATGAGTAAGTGATTACTGTGGGTGGTATAAGAAAAACAAACCAAACACTTGTTTTTAATATTTTAATCAGTAACTTTAAATAATTAATTACTAGGATACTTGTTGTCTTTAAAAAATATTACTTTTAATAAAATTAAATAAATAATATAGAAAATATAATATACCAAATCAAATTTATTTTACCATGTAAATTTATTTTAAGATATTAATCAATATTCTACCAAATCAAATTATAATTTTTAAATTAATGGTATGTTACAGAGATATAAACAGAAATAAATTAGTGGTATGATATAGAGATGTAAACGGAAATTTTTAGAATTGACACTATAATATGTATCTATTTTAAAAAATAAATATGATATTTGTGTTTGTCTTCGTATGAATTTCTGTTAAATGAATAATTCACAAAATTTAAAAAAATTAGTATCACATATCATTCATATAATTTATTTTCAATTTGACAATAAAATTTATTACATTAGTTTCTTTCGTTTTCACCAAAATATAATAACATACAACCATAATATTTATATATTTTATTTTTAATCAAACCAAATAAAAAGTATTACAATTATAACTTATGATAAATTATTGAAGTGGATGAAAGAAATTTAAATATGAAATGATTAAATAAATAATATTTATATGAAATATAAAAGACTTTCTTCAAATAAAATTTAAAAAATAAAATATAAGTTTTTTTTTTAAAAGATGGACATGGTATATTAAACAAATTATATTAAATATTTTTATAATAAATTAATGAATATGGATATTCGGAGATATGAGTGCCATTAATTTCACATTTTTATTTATTAATAAACTAATATTTAAATATTTATTTATTTTATTAATAAATATTATTAAATTATCTGCCTGATAAATTTTTATAATAAATTAATGAATATGGATATTCGGAGATATGAGTGCCATTAATTTCACATTTTTATTTATTAATAAACTAATATTTAAATATTTATTTATTTTATTAATAAATATTATTAAATTATCTGCCTGATAAATTTTATCCATGTATATTCGTAAAATTGAGATAAAATTCTATTAAATTAAAATTATTTTAGACAGCGAAGTAATTATCAAACTCTAAATAGTAGTACTTGTCACGATTTTTATATTTGAATTTTTATGTCATCAGTTTTTCCTTTCATAGAGATGCTGCTTAAGATACGATTCTATGCCAAATCATTTAATTGGGACAACCTAAATTAAATTTGTACCTGACTTTTTTTAAAAATCTTAGATTCACTTTGGTTTTTCGAAAAATAAATTTAACTTTGGGTGCTTCTGTTTTAACTTTTCTTTTAAATAGTTTTTATAGTATCTTAGATTTTTGTTATAAATATATATATTTTAAATAAAAATTTAACTTAATAGTTTTTAATAAAAAGTTATTTAAAATATTTTTTGAATATTAAAATTTTTAAAAGTTATTTTTGAGATATATATCTTTAAAAAAATTAAATGGTTTTTAATAAATTAAAATTATCAATAATTAAAATTTATATAATATAATTGATCGTCAAAACTACTCTTTGTTTTAATTTTTAGTATTATATATTTTTGTTAAATATGATTTAAAATTATTTTTAATAAGTTTGAAATGAAAAATTAATTTAATTAATTTTTTTTGTAAAAATTTATTTCAAATATTTTATCTTTTTGCTATGACATTACGAATTTTTTTCAAAATAACTATTTTTTCCAATTTTATTTTCAAACTAACTACATTTCTCAACTATATACCAAACTATTCATGTTTCAAACAAAAAGTGTTCGCAACAAAGAACATGCGTCAAATTAATTGGCGCCTGCATATGGGCGCTATATGCACTCGCCAGTTCCATTGACGCATATATACATTTTTGTAGTGTTATAATTGCAAAGGGCTTCACCTAGGGCGATGCCTTTATACCGTCCAAGGAGATACGATAGATGAATGTAGCTCAAAAGGAGGTATCGCCTTGCCCTATAGTCTTCCCTCGTCCCTACGTGAAAAAACGTGGGGTAAGACGATTTCTGGAGCAGAGAAAAAGTCAAGGTCATTAACTGCCCACGACTCACTTGGAAATAGGGGTTTAATTGTCCATATTAACTAAGTGTGTGATGGCCTTTTCCAAGAAAATCTTAAGTCCTAGAGACCTTTATAAATACCTCTCCTCTCAAAGAGATGGGGACAGACTCTAAGTCATACACATTATCCACAACTCAAAGGGCATCACGCACTTTACTACATTAACACACACGATAAACCTAACTGTCGGCCTGCAATCCTAGTACCGCTGGCCATCAACATGGCATCTCATCTCATGTGACTCGATCCCTTAAATAACCTCAAACACCACGGTACAGAGCTTTGTGCCGTCGTGAGCAAGCCCTCACCACAAAAACGTATTAAAGACCTACTAAGGCCTCTGAGTCTCTGTGCTCTTGCAAGGGAAACACACACACCTTACTTTTTGACCAATACAATGGCGCCCACCGTGGGGCCCTGGTAAAACTAACCTGGGCGACATCTTCATTTTAACCATTTCAGCTCCCTACTAAAGATGATTGACAAAGTCTTACGTTACGAAGCAAACACCATAAATAGGGGTATCTCCGGGAGAGGAAGCTTTTGAGTTGCCTGGAAAAAAATGAGCGAAGTATGTGTTTGCGACTAACGTTATATTCCATGTCCTTTTCCATAATCGTCTAAGGGAAAACAGGGTTCGACATTGCTTTCTCCTAGGAGGATGTTGTTGACATTAACCCTCTTGACGATGGCCTCATAGTCATCACTGTTCAGCACGAAAATTGGGACATCAAGCACGTCTTGATAGATATGGGTAGCTCTGTTGATGTTCTATTCTTGGATGCCTTCCAAAAACTACAATTGGATTCAGACGACATAAATTAGTTCAACGGTTCCTTGATAGGACTATCAGGAAAACAGGTGTCGATAATGGGCCATATTACCCTAAAAACCACATGCGGCGAGGGAGTGAACACCTAGGTCATTGATGTAAACTACCTCATCATAGACCTTTATAGTTAATATTTAATATTTAATATTTATTTTAATTTTATAGTTGTTTTCAGTTAACATTTATTTTTTTATTATTATTAAATTTTATAGTGAAGTGTAACTCATGTCACTAATATAAAACATATTTTCAGTTGTGGCATGCAAACCACGTCACTAATTAGTGACGTGGGAATCCCATGGGAAAAATTTAATTGGTGTCAGATGGAACGTTCAAAGACATATTGGGAAAGGTGGTTTCCCACGTGAAAACCAAGTCACTAATTAGTGACGTGAAATTCACGTGGGAACATTTTTGAATTAGTGACGTGAAAATCACTTGGGAAAATGCAATGTTTCTTGTAATGGACTCAAGTGTTGGGATTTTGACAAACGACTTGGCAAGTCTCATGAACTAGGGTTTCACCAAACTATGGTCTATTATGCATCGTTAATTGATGATTTTGGTCCTTGATTATTTATCATATTAAGTACATTGTGGCATTAAAGGGCGGGGTCCACTTCCATTCAAGATCTTATCGTGGATTTCATAACATATCATTCATACCGGAGCAAGCTTCATTCAAAAGGCAAAGTTTCATTTTTCAGACAAGAATCAATTCATTCAAGCACAATTCAATTTAATTTGGATGGAAAAGAATATCTTGCAGGATAAGTTACATCATTCCAGGCCATGGCCATGGAATTGTGCTTTGGTTTGTAAGGATAAGATCTTATTGTGCTTTGATAAGTTACATCTTGCAGCAAGCATCAATCTAATTGTAGGTCAAAGTTGTATTTTTCTTTGTATTTTTGTATTGATTTGTAATTAGTTCAACCCCAATCTCGACCAATTCAGCCCAAATATCTCCACCATTAGCATTTTTACTCTGATTGACCAACTTCATGGAATTCATTTCAAACACATCAACCATTTTTTTTTGAAAGTTTTAGAAATCTCAATCATGCTTGTATCATCTTCAATAACCTTCTTTACTACCTTCTTAGTCCTAGATGATGATATATCTTGAGAATTGGTAATAGAAGGCCTTGTAGGAGAATTGTTGCAATGATGTTCATCATCTTCAAATCCCTCTAAAATAACTTCATTGGTTTCAACTAAGTGGTTTATTTCTTCGATGGTTGTGACATGACTTTTTTCAACATTTGCAGCCTTTTTTGCTCTCATTTCAGCAGTTGTACCTTCATACTCTTCTATTGCTCGATCTTTTCCAAAAAGTTTGGCCAATTTATCATAAAATAATATTGGCTTATTTTTTCATTCAGCAGCTTCGGGTTTTACCTACATCAAAATAAACGAAACAATGCATCACTTAAAAAGTTTTTAATGAGTGAACTCAAATAAAAATAATCGGATAAGTGTATAAAACAATTATAGTAAATAATACCTCAATTAGCTTGTTCCAAACTTCATCTTCGGCAATCGACATATTTGTTGTTGAATCTCATCCAAACCCACTCAAGCCATTCTGAAAAAGGTCATAACAAGAATTGAACTTTGTTTTGATGTATTTCATGTGATCTTTTATTTTTTCTTTGAAAATTGGTTTGTCTGAAAAGTGAGTTTTCAATTCTTTAAGAATGCTATCCATAGCGCTTGTTGTCATACTATTACCATTTTTATTTCCCAATGTTTGTTGATGCAAATATGCATCAAGCAAAACTTCATCCATAGCAGTTGTC